GAATTATAGAGGAAAACAAAGTCTTCAAATTAAGCTAACTCTCTCTGTCTAAAATAAAACCCCAAATCAAGAAAACAACCTCTAGATCTGTTGTTTTAATAATCAGTAATCTTACTGTACACATTTCAGTTTGTATTTGGAAAACATGTAACTATTCATCTTTACAGAAATACGTTCCCATTTGAATATAGAGGAAGTTGTATTTATTAAGAGGTTAACTTGAAAGTTAGTGCTCACTAAAAGCTAATTAGCACCTATTTCATGTTCTAGAAAGATAAAATATCAAAGTCCTATGCACATGTCTTATTTATGTATACAGTATTCCAGAAATGAATAGGATACTCAAAAGATTAAACAGGAACATCCTTTACTTATGGAAAACAGGATAAAATAAATTTGAAATTAATTGCCATACATTGTTTTGAATAAGAACAGAATGATCTATCTCTCAGCTCTAATCAGGGATATAGACTTTTTAAGAGTGCACTTTTCCCTATGTCTAATAGTTAAGTATTTCCAAACAAAAGTTAATTCTGGAAATTCTTGTGTCTGAAGAGAGGTTTTTGGCCAGAGGAGGTACTATTTGAAACAGATTAAGTTGGCACTAATTACAAACAAATGACTATGTCTTAATACTAAACTAAAATTTCCCTGGTTTGCTGGTACAAGGCTAATATTACTCAGAATGTAGACATAAAGACAAGTGATAGGTAATAAAAATAAATTTAACAAGATTTCATTAAATGCCATACAACTACCTGGCACCACCCCACAAGTTATTGAATAACTTCATTCAATAACAAGTTATTGAATAACTTTAACAACAGGTATTTTTTTAATCTGTTCCTTTAAATTGTTTTGTGGGGGGCTGTCCTATGTATTGAGGAGGGGATAATCGGAGGGTGGGGATGGAGAGAGGAGAAGATGAAAAGATACACTGATGAAGAAGGTCTGGGGGACGGGAGCTAGGCCAGAAACAGTTTATGGGAAGGCCACTATCTACAGAGAGAATAGGTCGTACAGGACTCTGGAGGTCTTTCCAAATTTCTCAGGCTTAGTCTTTGCTGTTAGTAAGCAAACAGCAAACTTTGTTTGCAAAGTTACTGGTTAGAGATGCTTAAGCAATTGTCTGGCTATTCACTAACAGATCCATCGACTTTTCTGTTAAGGTCATATAAAACTTGAAAAGCTATCCAGTTGCTGAAGAGTCTCAAAAATTACTAAACCTGACCAGCTGAGGGAATCAAGAAGTCCCAATTTTCCATTTATCTAGCTATAATTACTAAAATCATTCTGGCCCATATGAGGGAGGAGCAGGAGTTTGCAAGGTAGACAGGGCTTGGCAGTTGCTTCTTGTTGGTCTCTAAATGAGGTGTAGGTATCCCTCAAATAATACCAGCATTGTATTGAAAATCTGTAACTAAACAACGATAAGGGGTTATTCTGAAAACTTAAGAGAGCAAACAAGTATCCTTAAGTTTAATTTCAAAAATCCCTGGAATTTCTGACAAATTGGTGTTATAGTTCTGAGATTTATCCTCATTGTGGGTTTGTAAACGGACAGCTGGAGCATAATTTTTCCTATTCACATGAAGAACTGTTTCAACAATGTCCTATCTAAGGGTTCTCAGCCTGGGAAAGGAGGGGAAAGATGATGTTGGCCCCCAAGGGACATTTGGCAATGTCTGGAAATGTTTTTGGTTGTCATAACTGGGGAGTGCTATTGGCAACTAGTGGACAGAGGGCAGAGATACTGCTAAACATCCAGCAAAGCACAAGACAGCTCCTCACAACAAAGAAGGAGCCAACCCGAAATGTCAATACTGTAGAGATTGAGAAAACCTGGTCTACTCCAAATGTTTTAAATATTATTAACTCATAATACTATATGGTATGTTTAAGGAGTCTTTATTATTTTCATCAGGAACCAATTTCACCACGACAGTTTGAAAACCAGACCTGCCCTAAAGTTATATGTAAGCTATACAGAAGGAAAAGATGACACCTTCGTGATTTGTGAGAGAAAGAAAGAAAGAGGGAGAAAGGGAGTGAGGGAGGGCGGGAGGGAGGAAAGAAAGGGAAAGGAAAGGAAGTAAAGGAAAGAAAGAGGGGGGAAATGGCTATTTTTATTCATAAAGGTATTCAGATACAATTTTCAATGAACCAGAAAAATTATCTTTCTCAGACAATACACTGGGAAAAGGAGCAAAATAATTATAAGCTGTCCTAGTCATAAAAACTAATCAATTATCAAGTTACTCATAAAAACTAATCAATTAAAAAGTCATTATTCCTTAAATATATTAATATGCCATCTGAAAATCAGCTCTCTTATCAGAAGCTATAACAGCTAGGAGAGGAGTATAACAGTATGTATTTATTATGAAATTTTTTAGTTCCCTTGGTTATAGGGCAATTAAAAAAAAAAATAAAGAAAGCTATGGAAGGAGTAACCCTGTGATCTGGGAGATACTAGAGTGTGCTCAGCCATTTAGCTCTAACCCACTTCCTGTCTTCTCCCTTTCCTGTTAGATTTCCCTCCCAGTTAGTAGGGACCATTTGCCTTGGTAATCACTGGTTTAAAGTCCTTGAGAACAGTAGCTAACATTTCCTAAGTATCTACTAATAAGATAAGCAAAATCATTTTTATAGCTCCTCTCAAAAAATCTTTGGTATTAAAATGATGAAATGAGCCAGAATTTCATCAACATAAGAACCTCACACAGATCAACCCATGGGGGAGGTGCTCAATAAAAATTTGATAGCAAATGGGTGAGTGAATCCTTCTTTTTTAAGCTCTATGGGAAATACAACAAACCTAGATGGGTTTCTTTTAGTTTAGGTTTCAGAGTAACTTTTTCATAAATACCTATCATTTTACAAATGAATTTATAATCTAAGTTGTCCCATTAAGACAATGTTAATTTCTTCTGCCTTTTGGCCTCCTGGCCCTTCTGCCTGAAAAATGAGTCAATTACTTTTGATAACTATTGCAAATGTCTTACTAATCCCACTGGCAATGTAAACGTGATCAGAGGACAAAGAAAGGAAAGAAGTTTAGCCAGATTTTCAGTCACTGCTTTAACTCACTCCAGCACTATGGGAATGACTTTCTTCTTCAGCAATATTTTAAGATCTGGGATTATTTTAAGGAAAATAAACTTTTACAAAATGCTATTTAGCTGTAAACGCATTTCTTTTCTGTTTCCTGGTAATCATTATTATGAATTTTATGAGGTATTAATGTCTTCTATTCTATTCACTATTTCACTTTGAAAAACGGTTTTTGGGCAACAACTCTAGGAGAGCCCCAAGACTCTCTAGAAGAGAATCAGTCTGTTCAGGTGAAAGGAGGAGGTAAAGAAGGATAGAAAAAGCAATAAGCAAAATGTCTAAGTCATCACTTTGGAATGACTAAACATAAATAAAATGGGGAAAGTAAAGTAAGAAAAGAAGAGAATAGGCAAGCAGGACCACCTGCTTGGTGGGGAGGTGCACGATGACAGGCATGAGAGTCAACCATGGGGTTACAACACTGCCATCCATTTAATTATTAGAAATACTGAGTTTTGGCTCCAAAATGTTTTTCCTATTCAGATCCTGCTCTTTGTATGTAATTTTTATTGTTTCAAAAGTCATCTTTTTTTTTTTTCTTTTTCAGAAAAAGCAATTCTTCAAATCCAGTTCACGTATGTTCCTACTGCGTCTCAGGCCCTGAGCAAGCAGCAGGCACTCCCAATTTCGCTTTTGGCAAATTTTCACTAAGTACTTTCCCTCCCCAAACATGTATCTAAGTCCACCAGACTTTTAAACCTTTATAAACATGCAAATCCCTCCCTTCTGAAAGCTTTTGAGTGAGCGCTCTGCAGTCTGGCTCTTCTCCTGCAGAGTGGCTTTATGGTAGGGGTCTGTTCACATGTTTGCTACAGGTAGTTGTGGCTGTGACTGCATCTTGCAGATAGATACCTGACATCTTGGAGATACCTGACATCTTTCAACAGGGCTTGATTCAAAGGCAAATCGAGAGTTTTAATTTAGAAAGGAAAAAAAGAGAGAGACCTCCTTTCTGCTCTGAGAGTGCAAACTCCTGGACAGGGAGCTCACCAAACTGACTATTTCCTCACCCTGCCTCCAGCAGGCTCCCACATCTGTGCGCGCTGAGATAGCTGAAGCGCTGACGTGTTTCCTGGATCCTCAAGCACTTGTGGGATTGCCTGGCAGTCAGGTATGTCCTAACTGTGTGTTAAGACCACATAAGAGTTTTACAGGAATTTAATTCTCAAGCGACAACTCTGTGAAGCAGGAACAATTGCTCCGATTCTTTAAGAAGACTTTTATGTATTTATTTGGGGGAGACGGGAGAGAGTGAGTGCACGAACAGGGGTTAGGGGCAGAGGGCGAAGCAGGCTCTCTGCTGAGCAGAACCCTGGGATCATGACCAGAGCCACCCAGGCGTTCCCAATTGCTCCCATTTTACACGGAGGTAGCTGAGGTCCCGAGCACACAAGTCAACGGTACAGCAGGGAGGTTAAGGCAAACGTTGTGATTCTATACCTGCGCCCCTAAACACCTAGCTGCGTCCCTGCACTAAGTCCATCATCCCTGGACAGCTCTTAAAAGTCTCTGTTCTAAGCATCAAGCGATAAGACCCAGGGGGCTCTACGGCTCCTCAGTGGTCCCGGGAATACGGGTCCTCGTCCCCAGGGCAGGCTTCGCCCGCCTGTGCAGGGCCGGAACGTGCCTGCTGGGATGATTCCCGACCGGGAGGCAGACGTGGAGCAGGCCGAAACGCTGCGGCGGGACTCTGGGAACCACCTCTCCGGCTGCGTCCTGTTCCCGCCCCTCAGCCGGGGCAGCGAGGCGGGGCTCGGCTCGGGTTGGGCCCCCACCAGGAGTGGTAGCCCGCGGCGGGAAGCAGCCGCCGCCCGGGCCGCGAGGGTAGAGGCGAGGCGGGGCGGAGCCGGGCGCGCCGGGAAGGGGAGGCAGCGCACGCCGGGTTGCAGCCGCCGCAGCCGCCGCCGCCGTCGCGCACTGAGCGCCGCGATGGGGCTGGAGACCGAGAAAGCAGACGTCCAGCTCTTCATGGACGACGATGCCTACAGCCGCCATAGCGGCGTCGACTACGCGGACCTGGATAAGTTCGCGGACTCGGCCTCCGATCGGGATCCCCACCGACTCAACTCGCATCTCAAGGTGAAGAAGCCTGGGGCGGGCCGTAACCTGGGCCCCGCCAAGGCTTGGGGGCACCGGTGCCCCCTTTACCCCTGCCCGGACCCCAACCCCCACCCTCGCCACTGGGTCAGCCCCGCCGGGTCCGGGACCCGGAATTCACATGCCTTGGGGCCGCCTGTGTAACTTGGAATTCTTAGCCAAATTCTTGTGTGCCCAACCTCACCCTAAGAGAAGGTAGGCGACCCAGCCAGCTCCTTCCTTCTCGCTTCTTCTATCCGAGCACTCCTGGTTCCCGGGGCTGCGGGTTGGGTGACAGTTGGGTGTTCCTGTGTTTTGCCTCTGCAGGTGGCCTTCGAGGATGTGATTGCAGAGCCGGTGTCTACACACTCCTTTGACAAAGTGTGGATTTGCAGCCATGCCCTCTTTGAAATCAGCAAATACGTGATCTACAAGTTCCTGACATTTTTCCTGGCTATCCCCATGGCCTTCGCTGCAGGAATTCTCTTTGCCATCCTCAGCTGTCTGCACATCTGGTGAGAAGGGCACACCGGGGTGGACCGACTTTCTGAAACATAGAAATGTTCTTTGCCACCTGCCCCCTGCACTCCCCTTCTCCCAAGGCCTGCTTGCAAGAAGAACACGCATCAGCTCGCCACAGTAGCAAGAAATGGGAGGCCTTGAAGGGCAGTGTGCTTTTTCGAGAATCATAGGTTGGGTTAGGAGTTTAAACAGAAGTAACGTCCCTCTGCCCTCTGCCCTCGGGTGTGATTTTCCTTCTGATGTTAATAAGGCCCCGCTGACTGTGGAGGTGGAGACCTGGAGGCCATGCTTCCTGCCACAGGCTGTTCTCTTATAGGACAAGTTAGGACTTGTGCCAGTGGTTCTGGGCTAGGCTCGTACTTTTATCATCACCATTTATTCAGTCACTACCTGTGCTTGGGCTAAAACAAAAGTGATCTCTGAGCAGAATGCCAGTGACAGTATAATTGAACAGGGGTATCAGGCCTGGTTAAGAAATGCTATGGAGGGGCTGCTCCAATCCTGACACTAGCAGATGGCAAGAATGTGACCCTGTGTGTGTGCAATTAAGGTGAGAGGCCCCCAGCAGAAATGAATGAAAAGTCAAGCTGCAGGATAATGAAATGAGAAGGCCTCCAAATTACTTTTTCACCTATGAGACAACATAGGGAGTGGCATCAACTTAAAGGGAAATAAGTATGAAACCTCCTGGGCATTAATAGGATGTTTTGAGTAACTTTATTCACACTCAAAGTGCATCATAAAACTTTGGAGAACATTTTAAGCATTAAAAATTTTTAAAGGAAAATGTTACATTGTTTTAAAAGCTATCCACCTTGTCTTGAGGGAAAGAACATTCTGATCATCCCCTGTATTGCAACAGTTGTCAAGATTGTGCTTTAGGGCAGTCCTGGCAAAATGTATAATCCTAAATGCCTCCATGTCTGTCTTAGTCACTTCTTATGGTATTGCCACACCCTAACCCATGTTGTGTTCATTGTTAGAAGTTACAGAATTATTCTCAATTCCCCTTTACCTTGTAAATCAATTCAATTTCTTTTAGTTACTTAGCTAATTAGCTCAACCCGATAAATTTATTGAGTGCTTAGTTTGTGCTGGGCACTGGTCCAAGGATGAGTAAAATGTAGAATCTGCCTTCAGTTTATTCAGCATATCAGGGTAGCAGGGTAAGTACAGAAGTAGAGGCTGAGGAAAACTCTGTTAAGTCTATTAAGGAAGAGGGAGGCACTAGGAAGCCTTCATAGAGAAAAAGGAATCTAAAAAATCTCTTGGGGCGCCTGGGTGGCTCAGTGGGTTAAGCCGCTGCCTTCGGCTCAGGTCATGATCTCAGGATCCTGGAATCAAGCCCCGCATCGGGCTCTCTGCTCAGCAGGAAGCCTGCCTCCTCCTCTCTCTGCCTGCCTCTCTGCCTGCTTGTGATCTCTCTCTGTCAGATAAATAAATAAAATCTTAAAAATCTCTTAAAGGATAAATAAAAATTCTGGGTACCTGTGTGGCTCAGTTGGTTAAGTGACCAACTTGATTTCAGCTCAGGCCATGATCTCAGGGTCAAGAGATCAAACCTTGCATCAGCCTTGGCACTCAGCAAGGAGTCTGCTTGAGGATTCTTTCTCTCCCTCTTCCTTTGTCCTTTCCCTGGCTCGTAGGCTGTCTCTCAAAAATAAATAAATAAATCTTTTTAAAAAAAGATAAATAAAAATTCACCAAATAAGTAAAGGACAACACCAATTTAATTTGGTCACTAAAAGGTGCCTCCTTAGCGCAGTAGGCAGCGCGTCAGTCTCATAATTTGGTCACTAAAGATGGAAACAACTAAAATATATTGAAAGTGTCAAAAGACTGTTGGAGGAATGAAAATCTTTGCCTTTATACATAAGCAAATTCACTAAGGCCAGATGTATAGTTTGCTTATAATCTGACATTATTAGCACATGGATTTTTTTAAAAGAGGTGCAAGCCAGCATATAAAATTTTGGATTCCTAATTAACCAAAACCAATCGTGTAACCTCTTTCAAAAATGTGAAAAACTGAGTGACCACATAGTATGTTGTGAAATGTTGGCTGTTAAGCTTTGGAAATACAGAGTGCTGCATTTATAATCAACAAAGCTGGACTTCCTAAAGCACTAGCTGAGGAATTAAAGACAAAATGGTTTTCATTTACTAAATGGTAGAAAGATACAAGTAAAGCTACAATTACCCAATGATGCTTCTCTTAACCTGGGTCGCCTGAAAACAGAAGATGTTTTTTGTGTGCAGTGCTTCCAATAGTGAATCATCAAACCATTTCTTTTTCAGACACATAAAATGTATTTAACCTCAGCTTGTTTTTCAAATTACATTCATGTGGGTCATTAATGTTTAACAATCATCCATTCATCATCAGGCAGCTGTGATTGCAAGTAGAGGAGTTACTTCAAACAAAAAAATGCTTAAAAGTTAGTGTGTATCTTGATAAAATAGATTTATCATTAATGGATTACATTCCCTTGACATGATAAGACCAGATCAAGGAGAGGCCCTATAAAAAAACAAACCTATTTGAGTAAACCTTTCTTCCCCATTGTTTCACTTCCCCTTCTTTCCTTTTTTTTTTTTTTCCCCTTTTGGCAGGAAGTAGGGGTTGTTATTACCAAGAATTTTAGAACCAAAGCTATGAAACTATGCAGTAATAGATATTCAACCCACATCACATCATTACAATGGATCTGATTTTAGATTCCTTAAACAAACAAACAACAACAAAACATCCAGAACTCAGTCTGGTGATGTTGGATCCTAGGTCAGAAGTACAGGTCATGAGGGACCAGTGGGTTGTTTTGCTACCATACCACATTCAGACTGAGATAACCACCATTTGGGAACAGCAGATTATTGGTCATGAGGGGATTATATCAAAGAAATGTGTCTGGAGCACCCTTACCTTTTGTGTTTGTTGGGATGCAATTCAAATAGATAGTCCTACTTCTAGAAATATAGTAGTAGCAATTTCACTTCTAGAAGAAATTTTTATACAGCGAATTGCTATGACAATGAAACTATATGACACTATAGTTAATACAAAGCTAAGTAAAAGTCTCTGTCCCAAGGGCTTTGTCCAGTGGAGGAATGTATAATCTTACAAATTATAAGATTTCTTTAAGAAGTGCCTGGGGGCTAAGTGGGTTAAGTGCCTGCCTTCAGCTCAGGTCATGATCCAGGAATCCCTGGACCAAGTTCTGCATCAGGCTCCCTGCTCAGCGGGGAGTCTGCTTCCCCCTCTTGTGCTCCTTTTCTGTCTCCTTTTCTCTTGCCCTTTCTCTCTCTCTCAAATAAATATATAAAACCTTAAAAAAAAAAAAGAAGAAGCATTTGAATCATGGATCCTCTGACCCACAGTGAGAGAACAACAACTTAAAGAAAATAAAATGAGTTTACCACATCCTATCAACTGAACTCTCACATGTAAGCAGCCACACTTAGCTGCACTGGAAAGTCCACTTTTGTCCTGTGCTTCATTCCCTTTTAGGATATAGAAATCTAAGAAATTATGAGATAGAAAATGTCTCAACCTATGGAAGAGTGGAAAGTATATTATATTCCCAGTGAAGTAGATTTGGTTAGGAAGCTTTCTGATTTAAACTTTAGTCTTAGAGTACATCACTTTGAGATCATTTTCTTTATACTATATACTCTGACTTCAAATTGTTCTACTTACAAATGATGATATCATATATACATTATAATGACAGCATCATATAGGCATTTCAAGGGTGCATAGTAAGTGTTAATCCTTATAGCCAATCTTACGAACTCTGGTTCTACTTTCATTTGTAGTGATATGCCCAAGGCCACATATCAAGTGAGAAACATAATGTGATAAGAAATCAGAAGCTGTCATCATTCGGGTTTCTATTCAGCTATTTAGCTTTGAAACACCTAGTAATTAATTTTCTTTAAAAATTTCTTTAAGTCTTTAGTACTTGGAACAAAATATGAGATAGATATAAATGTGTACACATCTAGGAATATTCAGTATTCTGAAAATATCTCAATCAGACAGTTTCCTGATCTTCCCTTCACTGTTAGCTAAGTACAACAGACCGTTATTTAAGTCACATTTTAATAGCAAATCAAGAAAATCAACCTTACTTCCTTGTGCCCATCCAGATAATAATAAAAACCCCATTGAGGCTACCAACAATTCCTGAGAATTCAAAGATACTTCTGTGCTCAAATAGCACTACTACAACAGAGAGCATTATACAGAGGATTATACAGAAAATCAGCCTGAGGAATATGAAGATTTGCAGTTATCTTACAAAAAGACATAAGGAAAAAATAATTTCAGGATAGTTTAGGTTGTTTTGTTTTGTTTTGTTTAAGAGTTCTGACATAATTCAGGGTTCTTTTAACTCTACCACACAGTTCTTTTCAGTGTATGTAAATACCATGAAAGATTAGTAATATTAAGCATGACAATGCTAAATTCACTTCCCCCCAAACCTTTAATAAAGGTCAAGATTGTCCTCACTTAAACAGCTTATACTCTAGGGGCATCCGGGTGGCTCAGTTGGTTAAGCGTCTGCCTTCAGCTCAGCTTATGATCTCAGGGCCCTGGGATCGAGCCCTGCATGGGGCTCCCTGCTCACTGGGAGTCTGCTTTTCCCTCTCCCTCTGCCCCTCCCCCACTCATGCTCTGAAATAAAATCCTTAAAAAGGGGGAGAGGGGCTTTTATTCAAGTAGGAAAGACAGAAGTATAGCCATGTATTTATGATACCCTTTGGTAAATTTAAGGATTAAGAAATTTAGTACTATAGCACAAAAAAGGAGTGTCCAACCCAGCCTGGCCCAAGGGGTGGAAGTGGAATGAGGCAATAGGAAAAGGCTACCATCAAGTAGAACTCCAGGGAATTTTGAATAAGCAGGTTAATGTTTAGGGGCAGAGACCAGGTAGGTCCATTTACCGTTTTGTTTATTTTTTTGTTTTACTGTTTCAGATAGCATGCCATCTATATAAAGAATACTGGTGTTATCATCTATATGCCTGTTTATTTTTTTAAGCAACATATCTCTGTGCATCTTATCACTATGTGGATCACTATTTATTTGTTTCAGATGTTCAGATTTAGGTGAATTAGGCCATTATTATATCTTTTCATGTATGTACAAGAGCCACTGGCCTTATTTGGCTACACCAATAATCCTTACACAAATCTCTTCTTCCATTCTAGGATTATAATGCCTTTTGTAAAGACCTGCCTAATGGTCCTGCCTTCGGTGCAGACAATATGGAAGACTATAACAGATGTTGTCATTGCCCCATTGTGTACAAGTGTAGGACGCAGCTTCTCTTCTATCAGCTTGCAACTGAGTCACGACTAAACACTTGGACCCCAGGTCTGGGGATTTGGATACTGTAATACTTCTTGACTGTCATAATGTAAAAGCACTACTGTTCTGTTCTAAGTGTTCCCAACTGTTCTAATTAAGAAAATTTTTAAGATTGGGCAACCACATGTAGAAATGTTTATTGGCAGATCTTTTCAAATAATGCTTTTCTAATTAATAGTCAAGGATTTAATATATAACTTTAGAGCCAGAATTATACAGTAGGTTGGCAACACTTAAAGACAGTTTTTACTTTAGTACAAAAGTATACATTTTATAATGATGAATTTATAAAGATCAAGAGACATTTCTCGAACACTTTAATTTTTTTGCACAACTGCCTGTAAAAATATGGAATTTCTTATTTTTTTACTCTGAAAGTAATACTTTTAAAATTACCTTTGCAGATAAAGTCCTGGGAATACTTACAGAAAAAAAATACAAAGATCCTAGAAATTATAGTAACAAAAGCATGCAGTGGTGATAGGAGCTATGAAATATAATAGGACAAATAAATGTGAAAATAGATTCATGAACATGTGTACCTTTAAATAAGATATTGTTAACCTACAGATCTATTTAATAAGATGTTTCATTTTACTGTATATTTTGTACTTAATGTAAATTTTGCTCTAATCAGATTGCTTTTAAGTACTTTTATTGTACTTGTTATCTTTTTGAACTAATATATAGAATGGTAAATGTCTCTTTCATGGGGTACTTCTTGGTGAGATTGCACTGTCTTGATAATGTAAGCACATATATCTTGTTTGGGAATAGAATGTAAAAGAGCAATATACAAGGCTTTTCTAACTTTTCCAGGCAAAATCCTAAAATGTTTTATGACTGAACTTTCCTGGCTGTGACCTTAAAAATAATCCAAATCTAATTGGTATTTCATCTGGGAGATGCTTTCTCTCTTATAGTTAGAAATTAAACTTGCATTCTGCATTCCTGTTAATGTCTCACTTTACCTTCAAGTAATACTGGTGCTAATTAATAACATTTTACATAAAGGCTATTTCTGACATTCAAGTACTATTTCAACTACAGTGATTCGTGGAGATACACTAATAGGAAAGTTGTCAATTTGTTGGGCCCATGCTATTTAGCTACATAATATATGTAAGAGACTAACAGATACAGACTTTCATGATGTAGTCTGATACGGGATTTGTTACACAGTATAAAATTATTCTTACCACTTTTGAGTTGTAGAGTCCTATTTCAATGTTATGAGTCACTGTTATTTTAAAAATCTCATTATTCCAAAATGATAGGCATATACAAAAGATGTCTATGATGTAAGTGGTTACTATAATTTACATATCTTAAGTGTATAAATGCTCAAATTTTAAGAATTATTATCAGAACCTGAATTAACATTCCTTTAAGTATCTATCTTCGTAGATGAAGGATGATTTAACTGGAATACTCTTGGGGGCCAGAGTAAACAAATGATTAAACTATGAAATTCCTATCCTTTTGAAGATAACTACAAAAGAGATTTCAAAATTGCCACTAGGACATTGTAGCATTCTTAGAAAAGATTCTCATGATCATTACCTTAAAACATTACCATTCATTTGACTACATAGATTTTATTATGTTACTTAAAAAGATCAATCTCATTACTTTATAGTTATACTATAAACTATACAACTATATAGTTGTATTTAAAGTGTTTTTTAAAATATGTGGATATGCTGATTGACAAAAGTATTTGATTAATAAAATATGCATTTAAATAAGTTATAAGTTTAAATAAAAAATATCTTTTCAAATAGCTGTTGATAAGTTTTAAAGCCAAAATATATAGCAAACCTTTTAACTTTTAACAAGTGAGATGTATGATTTCCTTATTTCTGAATTGCATTGATTATTCACCAAAATGAATTTTTATTGAGATTTACCATGAACTATTTTATTTCAAAGACTGAAATTTTGTACCAAGTGGATCCAGGTTTCATATGCAAATATGTTGGTTCTTTTATTTGGGGGTGGGGCAAATAGATGATGAGTATCTATAATAAACTTTCTAAAAACCCATAAAATGTGCTCATTGTTTTTATTACATTAGATATGAAATTGATCAATAAAGAACCTTTTTAAACCTTGTTAAAAACCCATAAGAGAAAAAATACATGAGTTACTGCTCATTCAGGGATGTACTTATGAAAAATTATGGGATTGGTAATTTAATTATTTCTTTTCCCAGCACTTAAACAGGTTCCCTGTAAATTTTTCTATCATTTGATGAATAGTATACACAATGAATTGCTCACAAGCCCATCATACTTCATCTTCCTCATGAAATGAAAGTCTCTTGCTAATTCTAAATAAACTGATATTTCTGTTTTCAATTTTTTAAATAAGAAAGTAAAACAATATAAATCACATGTACTTGGATACTGGTACCACGAAGCCAGACTAGAGTCCAAAATTATTTTTGGAAAGTAAGTATGTGATGAGTAGTTGCTGATATTGGCATGGATTTTCCCATCAGCTAATCTGGAAAAATGAACAGCCCCTAATAATAAAGCAGGTGTTTGGCTTTCTAAAATGCTTTTTATAGTTTTGAAGAACTTAAAAATCTCCTCTTTTCAAATAGTCATCCACATCCCATTGATTTACTTAGATGTCTTTCCTGGGAAGCTGTTAGAGTTCAGTGAAAAGGGCCCTGCCCTCCTGATTAGGCATCTGGATTCCAGTCTCAGATCTGCCATTACTGAGGTGTGTCACCTGCAAGGGGTTTAATCTCAGGGTCTCAGTTTTCTTACCCCTTTAATGAAAGAATTGAACTAAAGGATCTCAGGAGCTTGCCATTTAACTGCTTTCTGTGACTTCAGTAGGATGAAGACTTGCCTATATATATGCAAGCCAGTCTAGCTGTTCAGACCAAGAATTTTCTAAAAATCACAAACTTTCTATCAATTAGAGGGCCTATGTGCTATAAAGATAATAATGAATGCATTTACTTTTCAATCTTCAGCTAATTGTGAAAATGAGTAATGTGGCTTTGATTCTCCATGACGGGGACTTCAAGGTCTTTAACAATTCTGATTCTTTATTGTTGTTACATTTTCTCTGAAAATAATGTGTTATTCTATGTTTCTAATTAATTAAAATATATTTTATTTGAAGATATTTCTACCAAAATCACTGCTGTAAGACCATAATCGTTGCCATTTTCATCTTTTGCCTAGCTAGTTGCCACAGCCTCCTAAGGGGCCTCACTTCCAGCCTTCAAAGATCTCCAATCCATCTTCCTTTTCAAAATATAGAGTGATCTTATCAAAACTCTCCTGACATTCTCCTGCATAAAACGATCAATTGTATGTCATTGTCCTTAGACCAAAATCTAAACTCTTGAGCTATGGATACAAGATACTCACTCTCAACCCATTGCTGTCTTCAGCCAGTGCCTATTCTAGCTCTCACTGAAGTGCCATTCTGCTCTTGTGTGTCCCACCCTCTCCTCTGTTCCCAGGCCAACATCCCTCCTGGAGGCCTGCCCCACCCCCATTTCTAAAACCCCTCCACATCAAGTGCCTCTTCCATGTCTTCAGATAAAATCTTGTGCAAACCCCTGTTACCACTTCCCACATGGTAAAACCAACCCTGTTAAAGCCCTCTAGACTACTACATGGTCTTTGAGAACCAAAGACATCATCTTTGTTTCCTAAGATTCTGAAATGGAGCCCAGGAGTCAGTGAGCTCAATCAATATTTTCTGAATGAATGACAATGTGAATAAATAATTGAAGAAAACTAGGAGTGACTGCAGAGCTGAGATGGGAATCACATTTCAACTTCATGATTTTCTTTATTTTCAAGAGATGTTTGAAATGTACTGATTCTAGTAATATTTCCTTTCTCACCATCTTCTCACTCATGAATCATCAAGTTGGGAAAACAAAAATGTATGTAAAACATATTAGGTGTATTTCATCCTTTGGGATAATGCTTGTCTTTACTCTCAATTCTCTTACCTAAATGAAATGTATTTTTGCATCTCAGGGGTAGGAAATACCAGCACTTAAAAGCTCATTTGGAAACATAATTTTCTGGTATGTTTAAAATATTGCTATTTCTTTTACTATCGTATTTTCCATTTTGAAATCTATAATACTAAAAGATTGTTTTATGGAGTTTTACACTGTCAAAAACACAATCCCTACTTCGTCTCATTTGAATCCCAGGACAAATTAAATAGCATAGTAGAGAAATCATATAAAATAGTGGCTTAGTTTCTTTAGCTTGCAGCTTTGTCATTTTAGAATGTTAAGATAACAAGAGCTTAAAGAATGTTAAAAAAAAAAAAAAATGGGGCGCCTGGGTGGCTCAGTGGGTTAAAGCCTCTGCCTTCAGCTCAGGTCATGATCCCGCGGTCCTGGGATCAAGCCCCGCATCGAGGCATCGGACTCTCTGCTCGGCAGGGAGCCTGCTTCCTCCTCTCTCTCTGCTTGCCTCTCTGCCTACCTGTGACCTCTGTATGTCAAATAAATAAATAAAATCTTTAAAAAAAAAAAAAGAATGTTAAAAAAGCTATACATTAAGAAACCAAAAAAAAAAAAAAATGTAGGTAGTACTGCAATAAAAAATTACCACCACTAATGCAATTTATCATAAACCAGGATTTGGTATATTTCTTTCCTTCGAGGTATATCTATGTGTATGGGGAAGGACAAGAGAAAGAATTAAAGGAGGAGGAAGCAGAAGATAAAGATATACTAGATATTCAGGCAATAATTTTTAGGAATAAAAACAATTTAGGTTCCCATAATTTAATCATCCCAGTTTCCTCTCCCTGTTCACCCCCAAAGGGCAAAATGAGCAAAGACCCTTTGTTATATTTTTAAGACATTTTTGTACCTCCTCCTCAGCCTTTTTCTTTGGACTATATCTGAAATACCAACAATGGAACCTTACACTTGGATGTTTGTTTAAACAAAAGATGCCCCTGGGTGGGGTAACATTTCAATCATGAGCAGTCATCCATTACTTTATGTGAATGAAGGACCTGAGAAGGGGATACTGAAAACTGCATAAGGGACCTGAAAGTGAGGACCTTAACCTGAGTTCCACATGAGAGTACCGAAGAGGAAGTTGGGACAGAAAAAGGGAAAATAGGAGACTCCTCCAAAGACAATCCTCACCCATCACAGCTCTGCTTTTGGACATTCCTGCCCCCAAACCTCTAGTGAAGGGGACAATGGAAAATGAACAGGGATAAAGGGAGTTGAAGTTATCTACGGATTTCTCTTTTTTCCATAAAAAAGTGTTACTTATGTCTTATTGAAGGAAAACGGCCCTGGAAGGGGGCATGAATGCTCTGCTACTACCATGTGCCCTAAAGACAATGCTGAAAAGCAAAAGTTGAAGTAAAAATGGAACTATAACTTCTGACTATCTGTCTCTCTCCCACCTTGCCTCTCTGTACTGTTGATTGTTGCCATGTGTCTGTGGCAAAGAAAGAAGACCATGCAGCAGTCAGAGAAATCAGAGGACACCACTTCAACAATTATCCAAAAATAGGACAGAGACACCTATCAGCCTGCACTTGGACGTGTTAGGTCACTCAGCTTGGCTGCACGGCTGGAGAAGTGGTTTTTGCCATTATAGGAAAAGGTAGGGGTGGAAAATGATGAGAGAAAGGAAGAGACATGACTCAGAGTGGGAAACAGCACGTAAGCAAGGGCAAATATTTCTCCCAGACATAAATGCAGCAGGAAGAGACTGGAGCAAAAGGTCATCTGTGGAGCATTCTTTTCTATCCCAGCCTCCCAGTAGCTTGTCATCCAGCACCTGCCAGTAACAAAAGGGAAGGGCAGGGCAGTAAGCAGGACCTGCTTCTCTAGCTGAATGGCATACCGGTTCCAACCAGCGGCTAGCTCAGCTAACTGGGACAGTGAAACAAGAAGTTGTTTGGAAAGCTGCAGGGATAAACACACAATTTCCCAGTGAGGCAAGTAGCAAGGATTAACATACTTCTTTTACTGAGGGGGAAACTAGTTGGACTCCTTCATGTGTAGTATCAGCAGGAGAATTCTGATGTCTGGTACGAAAACTAACACTGATATTTGGTGATCATTTATTACCTGTTAGGCATTTATTTAATCTCCATGATAACCCTATGACATGTGTTGTATCATTATCCCCATTTTTCAGAAGAGTAAACTGATGCCCTGCAGTTGAGGGATTTTCCCAAGATCACAATGGGAATCAGGATTTGAACCAAGAGAACCTGACACCAGAGCCTAGGCTCTTAATCACTACAGAGATGATTTGCTATTTCTAGCATGTGTGCACAGCTATTATAATGATTTGTTCTCCCTTCCAGACAAATTCTTTTTCATTCGTCATTCAGTCATGTCACATTTCCTGCCCTGAGAAGCACTCTGATCAATGGAGTCAGTTCCAAGTACTCAGTGGTAAGAGCTCCCCTCAAGCTAGTAACTGAGTTCCCTGTACCCTCCTCACTCTGTCCCCGTCTGATCCCTAAGCCCTCCCTGAGCCTCATACCCTGCTCTCCTGAGCACACTCTTTCCTTACCTTTATGATCTGTGCTCTAGGCCCTATACGCTAGTTCAGGGCAGAAAAATATTTTTCAAATACCATTATTCCTATCTGTTGTAAATTTCATAAAATTTCACTATCTTTAACATAAACATCCTTAACATATATCAAAACATGATGATATTTATCTTCAGTACTTGACAGCTTGACATGTAAAATATTAATATTTATAGTAATAATTACTATTGATACTAAGCGTATATTTTTCTAAACAGAGGCCATATTTTGTATCTTTTCTCATTTGGTTGGAAATTTCTTGTCAGTTTGTACATCTTTTAATATGTTATCCAGTCTGATTAACAGTTGTTTAATCTTGGAAATCCCAGGGAAAACCATATCTAGATTTTTCTTTCTCTTATTAGGTAATTTGCTCATGATAAATTTTTCTTTTTTTTTAAGATTTTATTTATTTATTTGAGAGAGAGATATAGCAAGAGGGAGAATACAAGCATGGGGAGTGGGTGGGTA